GGGCGGGGGACAGAATTCAACTACTGCATGTGACCAATCAGCATCATAAAACTTTACAGTGCATGTAATTCTCATTGCTAAGAATAATGATCTCTTAAAAATATCATTGACTTTCTCATTATGTGTGCATATAATGTCTGCTTAAAATGGCCCATGCTCTTCCATGATCATGCGCTTCAAAAATGAATTCATATATTCAGGAATATCTGGCTGCACAAATGTCCTCTGACTAAAAATAGCAACTGATCAGTGGTTTCCCTGACTACAACCCCACTGTGAATGGCTTTAAGACTTATACAGAGATGAGCAAAAATGTTTTAAGGGCTCTGATCTCAGAGCCAACCTTGATACGACTGGACGGAAAAGTAATAAAGAACATGTCTTTGAGATGATGATCGAGTGATGTCAGCACAACTGCTAGTTTTACTGCTTCGTCTTTTTAAGAGTTATTGACTATTTTGCTCTCTTTGAAACACAGAGTCACTAAATTCAACATTTTATAAATTATGTTTAATCATATATATATATATATATATATATATTTACATATAGACCCACATTCAAAACATCATGCCATTATTAATTTGTACGACATTTGACACCTATCAATCGGCAGATTTAGTTTCTCAATTAATTCTGATTAAATAAACTCTGATAATGAACGGCTTTAAGTACAATCAGCTGAAGGGTTCACCCATTAAAACCATTTAAAATGCTGTTGTTTTACAATTTTGATGCTTAAATGTAAAATTACAAAAAATAAAATGTTTATATGCATTCATCATGCATTCATTATACGGTCTGTAAGTGGTTTCATTATAGCTGTCAAAAGTGTTTGTTTTGTTAAATCAAGTTACAGCTATTTGAAGGTGATTAAAATCAAACATGATTAAAAGGAAGAATTTTCAATCACAAAACCTTAAGAGAAAAAAGAAAATTCACCAGTGTGTGCATTGTGCAAATGTGTGAAACTACATCACATTGAGAACAGGGAAGCACTGTGTTTAACATTCCGTCGGCCTCGCAGCTCATATCATAAAGAAGAGCTACAGTTAAAATAGTCCATAGAGGTTAAATGATCATGGTAAAAAAAAGTTTTCACTTCTTGCGAGGGACCTTGTCACCCAGAGGCACGTCATCCATGAGTTTCTGCAGATGTGAAAGGTAAAGAAAGAGTTTGATAGCTGTACAAAAAAGAAGAAGTCATGCTTAATGACTGAAGAAAGGACAGTATCAGCCCACCTTAAGCAGTCTAGCAAAGTATGCTCTCTCGTCTTCTCCGTCCCCCTGTCTGACGTCCACATGGTATCTCCTGCAGGCCACGGTCAGCTCATCAAGAGTGTAAAGGTGGGCGGGGTCAATAGAATGCCCATTAATGAGGCTGACCAGATACTCTCGATAATGCTTCCTAAAACACAGAGGATACCACTATTTTATTTACTCCTAACAAGGAATTTGGGTTATTTTGTCTTGCTGAGTACACCGGGCTTTTATTTGACCTGTTTTTTTTCTTTTAAAGTCAACAGATGTCTTTGGCCATTGCGTTTTTGTCAGTGTCTCACTAATCCTGCTTAAGACTAGAGCATACTGCGGTCAACATTTAAATGTGATTACAATATTCACTCACAATGTGGCAATTTAAATACTATACTTCATATTAGAGTTGACATATTCCAGGTATTCAAACATTTGTTAGAGTCTTTGGGCCAGATTTACTAACAGCTTGCGCCAGCGCAAACAGTCTTTTGGCGTTAAATTAGTACTGTCAGGATTTACTAAAGGCGCGCAGTGAAGAATTAGTGCTTACAAGGAGTGGACAGAGTTATTTTTGTGCTTGACCTTATTGAATATGCATTTGTAAGAGTTTCCCTTTCAGACTCAAAATTTATGGGAGGAGAGTATTAAAATGAACCATGCAACGTGATTTACTAATGTTTGCGCCTGTCAAATTACTGGTATTTGCGCCATTATTTAATGCTCCAAAAAACCATGTTATTTTGTGCTTGTTTGTCAGTTTCCATGTAACAAGCTGCGCCTGTGTCACAAGTACATCACCCGCACCTGATGAGCATCGGATCTGCTTATTTGCGACTACGCTAATTTGCGCTGCGCTTGGTATATTGCATTGGTCGATATGTAAATGAGATGTTGTGTCTGTGTTCTTTCATTTGAGCGTTGTCAGTAAATCACTCGCAAAAATTTCCATGCCCATCGGTGCCGTTTTGGAATTGCACTCTCACACTAATTTGCAGTTAAGTAAATCTGGTCCTTTATGTTATAGAGTACTGCAGGAATTAGTCCTAAAACACAGAAATTAATTGTTGCACTACTGGTTCCATCGTCCTTAAGTCAATTTTTTTTTAATGGGTTTTTGGTTGAAAGCCTGAAATAACGTCCAACAATAACAATAAAGCTCAAGATATTTTCACATTTTATTCTACGACATAAAATACACCAGTATTACCCCACTCGTGATTTTCTAAGCTTTTACGTGTCTTGAAAAAACTAGCATGTCTTGAGAATATACTAGTGATCGTGCAAAACTATTCTAAACTCAAATTTGTAGATCTTAAACAAAGATTGAAAGAGCTGTCATAAGCTTAGTGGTGGTGATGTTGAAATTCATTTATAGCCTACCTTGAGCTTTTTACTTCTGGCTACTGGCAGTTTTTCCAAAGAAAGACTGATTTAAAAATGATTCACATTGATAGAGTTGATGGTACTGCCAAAAATGATGTAACCAAGTGCAAAATTAAATTTTTCAACATGTTTGTGTATTGTTGTTCTGAATTTCAGTTATTAAAATAACCTCTTTTTTCTTAGTGTACAGAACATTTTAACGATCTTAAGAATGTTTTTCCACTATAAAGAACCTTCTGTGGAATGGAAAGGTTCCATGCATGTTAAAGGTTCTTCATGGAACCACAGATGCCAATAAAGAACCTTTATTTTTAAGAGTGTACAAGGAGCAGTCAACATGGTAACAATGTCGTCACTCACTCGCAGAGTCCTGCCTGGGCTGGCTGAGTCTGAGCCCCACATGGCGAATCAGTCGGACGAGGCCCTTCATCTTTCTGCTCGATCACTCCACACACACCTGACACAAAAACACCACAGCAAGGATGCATTTGGGGGAAAGGTAGAGTTTTCGAGAAAGATATTTTCAGGACAGAGAAGTGGAAGAGAGCGTGAAATAAAGCTGTAAGAAGTAGGTGTATGTGTGCGTTTGACTACGATTTCATGGTACAAATATAGCCTTGGCTTGAGAAGCGGTAATTGGACGGCTGTTTAGTCAGAAAACAGTGCTTTGCTTTATGATGTCCAGCTTTTAGGCTTTCATTACAGTAAAAGCAATTTTGCTCCACTGGGCAATTGAGATAAAGAGTCAAACTGGAAGCAAACTAGACTTTAAGACAGAGACGGACAAATTAGATGAAAAGACAGACACAGATAAACAAATTAGAGAAGTTCTGGGGTAGATAAGACAGACTGAAATCAGGCCATACAGTTAAGGCCCGCTCACACCAAGGACGATAAGTAACGATAGCTATAAAGTTTTAATAATCATTCTAATTCTATGAGAATAGCGAAGTCCACACCACGGCTATAACGATAATGACACAGAGGAACAATATCAGTGGAATCACTTTCAGAACATTTTTTCTAGCTGAGGAATGATAAAAACATTAACAGCCAATAGACAACATAACATCAGTACGTGCTTACAAAAAACAGAACATTATCGTGCGCTGGTGTGGACGCTAATATAGTTATCTTTCTTTTTGTGACCACGCTTTTAGAATAAACCTTACGAATCTTACGAATAAAGACGTACCAGTCTGTGCTCCTGGTGCAGTGTCAGTATTGTAGTTCACCCCCTTTTTCTGAGGAAACAAAATGACTTTCAAACAAGTATCTGAAATAAATCAGTGGAGATAAGAAGTGATATTTTACCACCAAACCTGGCACACGAGTGCTGTGCGTGTGAATGTGTAGGAGGAAATGTGTGTGCCTGTTTTAAAGCGAGTGTGTGTGTGTGTGTGTGTGTGTGTGTGTGTGTACCTGCAGTAAGGCCTGAAGGAGTGAGCAAGAGTGTGAGGGAAAGAGGATGAATGAAAAGGGGGGAGGAAACAGTGCTCCCGAGAAGGCTTCTACTTTTAGCCCAGCCGTAGCTGAATTCAAACTGAATATCACAGTCACGTACAGCGCCATATAACATGCACATAGAGCTACAAATAGGCACAAACAATCTGAAGACAACAAGACAAGACAGGAACTCACTGTGTGGAAGGGGTTGTTGCATCCACTGCAGAACTGATACCTGCACTGGGAACAATTGAAGTGCATACATCCACCCCTGGCCAGGGCATACTGGAACCTGCAGTTAGGGCAAGCTACAAGACAGAAAGACAGATATAGAAAAAAGCATTACATGACAGAAAGAATGGGCTATGTGACAGTTTTTTCACCCTATACTGTGGACGTTTACTTTTTGCGTTTTTGATAAAAAATGAAACATAATTTACATAATCAAATAGACTGTGTTTGTCTAATTGTCGTGACAATCAAATCACATTGAAAATCCAGGTTTTTCCTGTAACCGTTAACAGACAAATACATAGACATGGCATAAAATAAAAAGAAATCGGTTTTAGCTTTGAAAGGAAGAAAATATCAGTCATAAAGATTAATATTAACTACATTTAAAGTTTAAATTACATATTTAAATATACATTTATTATAAACTTCATATATTTATTACATATTCAAGTATATTTATATTTATTTATAAATTATTGATTTCATTTTTGTATTTGCTTATTGATTGCACCACCCTTTATTGGAATACCCATTATTGACAGGTAACATAAAAGATACAATTGAGTTGTTGTTGTTTTAGCATTCACCCATTTTATGAATTTATTCTTTTACTAACAGTTCCCGAAAAACAGTGGTCGAATTCTTAATCCTCCTCATTCAAACCTAGAATTGGTGTGTAGTGAACTTGATCTGAACAAGGCTATATGACCATATTTTAGGCTATGAGACCATTCTATTGTTGACATTTTTCAGATCTTGATTAGTCACAATTAACACATGCCACATACCAATCCATGTTACAGACAGACAGATAGATAAGAGTTGGACAGGCAGACAGATAAATAGATCTGTTTAAAATTCCACCTATAGAACTTCATATTTAATATTTCATCATACTGAATCATTAAAATGACCTTCTGATGTATAGACAGAATGATAGATATACAGATAAAAAGAAAGTCAGATGAATGGATTGAGAAGAAAAGAGAGGGAGAGAAAAAGTCTTAAGTGAAACGCTACACTAGAAACAACTATTGTGCAATCAGTAACTCGTATAAACTCAGAATAAAAATGCCTGTGAAAAATACCCAACATTAATATTTGATTTGGCTTACCTTCTCCACTGGACCAAACACAACAAAAACAAACAAACAGACCGTATAAGCAGGCAACATATTTCTTAAGGTTAAGATCTATTCTGGCAGTCAGAGTCGGGCAGGGGCAGTGATGGCAGCAATACTGTTTGCTGTGAGTATATGTGGATTAGAAGAGTGAAAGCACAGTTCCGACAGGCTTCTAGAGCAGATCAAAAGGTGACTCACTGATCCCATTGTCACGCAGGTATCCGGCCAAGCCCTGCCTCTGGTACTCGGGGTCATTCTCTCGCTTCCACAGCTGGAACTGCTCGCACGAGAGCCCCATGTGCTGCGGCTCCCACTGCAAAAAGAGACAGACAAATAGTAAGGCATTAACTACCATCATTCAATGAAGTATTCATTCAGTTTTTTTTGTCATTACACATACATATGAGACAGTTTGTTTTGGATTTTTTGGTAAACATAATGTGTTATTGCATATGCAACACTATTTTGAAGCTACTGACTACTGTCATTCTACTGAAAAACACAGATGAATTGATAGTGCCGCTACTTTTAATTACTCCCCAACACTGACGTTCAGGTCCTGTGTTCATGTAAGGTTCCTGCATATCTGTTTCTTGCTTTCTGAAAACACTTACCGGTTTTTTGCATTGAGCACAGAAGCTTTTCCTGCACTGCATACAGGTGACCTTGAGTTGATCGCCGTCGTAGATGAAGCCATATGAGCACTGTGGAAATGAGAAGAGAGTGAAAGAGATGCATGAGATGCAAACATGAAGACACTTCGCATCATGCACCTCTTTTCAGATCACTAAATTACGCTTGAATGAGACTACAGCTTTTTGAGCATGAGAGCTATCTCTGAGAAGAAGTGAACAGTGAGGAAGTGCAGGGAGGCAGTGTCACTCACATGGCTGCACCACAGGAATTTTGGGTCCTTGATGAGAGCCTGCTCAGTCAGCTTCTTGTGGAAAAGATCGTACACATCCGGTTCGAGACAATCCCTGAGCTGGGCAGTCACACACACACACACACACACACACACCACACAACACACACACAAAAGGTCGTTTCATACATCACAGTGAGTAGCTTGCAGCTCAATTATATTGCTGCTGTGTCAAGTCCCAGTATTGCACTGACCATCTTTATTTTTATTTTTTTTCTCTCTCGCAGTACCTGTATATCCAGAGTGGAGAAGTAGCTGTTCAGGTGCTCAGGGTTGTTGATGTCAGGCTCTGTGCAGACAGGACACACCATGTCTCTGATGTGCTTGTCCCTCACCGCTATGGTGAAATGCTGCTTGAAACATCCACAGCACACAGAGCACTGGCACGTAATTAAATTAATGCATTTAGCAGATGCGACTTACAGTGCATTCAGGCTATAAATTTTTTATCAGTATGTGTGCTCCCTGGGAATTGAACCCACGACCTTTGCGCTGCTAACGCAATGCTCTACCACTGAGCCACAGGAACAGAAATGATATCATGCAGCGCGCGCGTGTGCACGAGCGGAACTTCATTGGAGACTTCCAGTTTTATATATTGTTACTTTTGATAAGAAACAAAGTCTCGAGACTGCATCTAAGACAGACAGAAAAAAACACACCAAAAAATAGTCCTGACTTAATGTAAGGTACTTTCAAACACATACATTAGCCAAAAAAAGGTAACACCATTTTTCCATGTAGAGATCATTTGTGAACAGGACCCGGTAGGACAGTATGCAGTATGACAATATAAACTGTCAGAAGGTAGAAATATGTCCATATGTGTTCCACAGACGAAAGAAAGTCATACAGGTTTAGAACAAAATAATGGTGAGTAAATAATGACTTGATGATGATTTCTGGGTGAACTTTCCCTCTAATAGTTCATATGCCTAAAGGTAAGGGCATTCTGATGTAAAAAGTGCAAGATTTGGAGCCAATCACATAGAAGGAGCTGACGCAAAGTACCTTGCTGTGGGGAAAAACTGACAGGCAGATGGGGCATTCCTTATTCAGCACACGGCGAATGAAGTCCCGGTCAGGTGATTCACGCACGGCCTGAATCACATCCTCCAGTGTGTATGTGGCTGTAGTGTCCCGCAGCAAAGACAGAACCAGCTCACAACGCCCCCAGCTAGGCAGATCAAACACTGCTAGCAGCCTACGGCAAACATGCTAAACACAAAGAATAAGTTAATTTAAGTAATGTTTTAATAACATAACATTTTCACCACTGACCACTTTGAACATGTTTGGCAGCAAGCATTATGTAATTAATTAAAGAAAAAAATTTATACTTGGAATTGATATTCAGGGGCATTTTCTTTCTTCCCTCTCACCATACACACAGTTTGCCTTCAACTTCTCTTAGCACTTCTATTGAAAGTTTCAAATATAAAGGAACAGGAATAAATAATGCACAAGATATCAAATTTAAATAAATTAATGCATTTAGCAGACGCTTTTATCCAAAGTGACTAACAGTGCATTCAGGCTATACATTTTTTATCAGTATGTGTGCTCCCTGGGAATTGAACCCACGACCTTTGCGCTGCTAACGCAATGCTCTACCACTGAGCCACAGGAACAGAAATGATATCATGCAGCGCGCGCGTGTGCACGAGCGGAACTTCATTGGAGACTTCCAGTTTTATATATTGTTACTTTTGATAAGAAACAAAGTCTCATCTTTAAAAATATGTCCTTTTTTCAAGAAATTCAAACAATTAATTCCATCTTGGCGCTCTTTGGTGTGACGTGACAGATCAAAACGCCCCAGTTCAAAGGGCAGCGCGATCATCCTTCCCTCTTTACTACTAGTTTTAACGTGAAATACGTTAAAACTAGTAGTAAAGAGTTACAAAAAAATCTGTTACGAAACAAGTTATGAGAGCCACTGTGTAAATGAATAGGCTATATTTTAACAAAAATCATTTTTATAACTTAGAAGTTAATTTAACAACTGCATTATGTGCAATTTACATGTTTGCATACATTTTTTTTTTAAGTTGAGGGTTGATTATTATGTTTAAAAATAAATAGTAATTTAATTGAAGTTTGGTCTCTGTTGTTAACAACATAAAAGGGCTCTCTATAGTTTAGAGCATAAGCTGAGGTAGATTTTTATAATTAAATTATAATTAAATTTATTTTAAGAAAGAGCAATTTTTCAGTAAACCACTGTTTAATTAAAAAAAATATATGTTTAGTTTTCCCCCTGCTGTACTGAAACCATACCGAACTGTGACGTCAAAATGGAGGTACGTACCGAACCGTCATGTTTGTGTACCATTACACCCCTAATATATATATATATATATATGTATTTATATCAAACAAAAGATGATTCAGACTAAGTTATTTCACAAAAAAAATGTTTTGCACATCTAGTGGTGAGAAAGCATTGCAGTGTCTCAGTGAAGCTCCATTAATGTAAAAGGCCAGTCACCTGTTTATCTGGATGGTTGATGTCGATGGGGGGCTCTGGTTCATCGCTCCACATGCGCTGATGGAATTGCTCCAGTAAAGGGCGCTGCAGCAGAGCGAGAGCCCCCCTCACATCCCCTCCACTCTGCCGCAGGGCTTCTTCACAGCGGGTCACATCATTAAAGCCCAGAGAGCCAAGCTCTTTTACCTAACAAACAAAAAAGAGACAAAATGTCATATTTAGCAGGAATGCACCTATATTACAATTCTGGACGATACTGATAAGCCGATAATTATTTTCATGTTACGGACAATATTAATATTCAATGTTATTTTCTTTAAATATATTAAAAATAAAAATAAAAACTATAAGTGAGTTCAGGCAACATTATAAAAATTATTTTAAAAATGACATTTAACAATGTTATTGAATTATTAGTGATTTTAAAGATTAGCTTTAAGTGAGTGTTTGATAATGGCGAAAGTAATCCAAATATAAAAGTAAGGAAAATGAGCATGCTTAATGAAATATCCAATATCAGCTGATTTTATAAATACTTGCTTATATACACAAATATGTACCTGTAAGTATAAAAAACTGATCTGTTAAGCATTATATATTTTCTTATACTGTTGTAAATGTTAATAAAAGTTATTACCTAAAATAGTACCAAAACAGAGCTTGACTTAAAGTTCCTGCAAATTAAGCTGTCTTTCCCCCCACCATCCCTTCAATTTTAATGTTAGCATTTAAAGTTACATCACTGACCATTCTGAAAGGTGGAATTCCTCCAAATAAAAGCCATAGATGTTCAATCAGTATGAGCATCAGTATTACTGTGATTGGATGCACAAGAATAGTCTTTACTCACTTTAACTCTTCGGTCTCTGAGAGCCTGCCTGACAGCCTTCTCATTGTCTCCCCCTGCTGCCAGCCAGGCCCGTTTGGCTTCTGCTCTGGACAGGGGCACTGCATTGCTTTTTTGTCCATCCTGGCCATTGCTCCCCCCTAAACAGTTTGATTGTGTGTTGGGTTCTTGCTGACGGGATGTAGCCATCACACAGATCTCATCAAGCACATGAGGTAGCTCTGCTTTCAGCCAGTCATACGGCATTACATTACTGTTTCCTGACACACACATGCTGGTGTAAACCTCCTCTGGGCTCACTCCTTTCTTCTCTCCCGCCTGAAAAAAGGACAGAGACAATGAGGATGCTTGTAAACTTTAGAGGATGATGCCCCAGCTACAACAACAAAAATATCAGACTTACACGAATGATCTGAATAAGTTTAAGCCCTTCCTCCCTCATCAGTCTTTGCCTTTTGAAATCAGGGTCCTCAGTGGGAATGACTTTAGGTGGGGCTGGAGGCGGTGTGACGTCCTTGACTGATGAGAGTGGGAGGGGCTTAGGGGGTGACAGAGCAGGCTCTGACCTCGAAAGACAACACATTTCGCATACAGGTGATGGTGTGTGGTTGACGTACGTACAAAACTGGCAAACCCACTGAATGACATAAGGAAAATAGGAGAAGTCAAAACAGGAACCTACATTCAGGATAAAACTCAGCATGAGACTTTCATTTCATTTGCAATGACAAATCAGAATATTCTCATCAGTTAATCAATGTTAAACAGATTATCTGTAACACCCACCAGCAGCACCAAAAAGAACTGTGATCTTTATTTAGCACACCTTAATAACATTGGCTGATTATCAGTTTATGACTTCCTGATAAACAGTGGAGAATGGGGGGAGTCCGCCTGAATATAGTCCCCAGCACGCTCCCTGTGCAAGCAGGTGGTCACATTGGTTATGTTGACGGAAGTTAGCCTATCAGGCGCAGCGTAATATCATTGCGCCTGCTGCACCCATTGTACGGCAGCAAAGTTCCTTGATTATTACGCCAGAATGAGAGTATAGTTCCTAGCCACGTTTTCTTTTTAGAAAAGTTTTTTCCTAGCCACGTTTTTCACATTTTCAAGTTTTCTTGCCGCTGCAAGATTAATCTTTAATGAACCGAAAAGAACGCATGTCACACCTCTGTTCATCAATTTGCACTGGCTACCAGTAGCTGCTCGCATTAAATTCAAGGCATTAATGTTTGCCTACAAAACCACCACTGGCTCTGCACCCATTTACCTAAATTCATTACTTCAGAGTTATGTGCCCTCTAGAAGCTTGCGTTCTGCAAGTGAACGGCGTATTATTGTGCCATGTAAGTGGGTAAAATTTACCCACTGGCGCTTTTAGGTATAAAGCGACCTCTGGCGGTTCTAGTGTTAAAACCGAATACACAGCTGCAATGGATGCAATGTACTGATATTCACGTTCTCCCAACTGTTTACGTTCACTTAAGACGTAGCCAACTGTGTTTATGTGAATACTCGTCAGAACGGACAATTCGACATAATTTTGTGTGTAATTCTCCATTCATGCGACGCGAAAGAGTCACTATCGGATGAGAACAAAACTGAACTGAATTGAGCTGAGCTGGATGATGAAACTACTGTCTGTTGTAGAGCAGCTTTTAGCTGAATCAAATTAGTTTCATCATTTATGAATTTTGCAACATCAACACTGTTATTGAACTGAATTGAATCAACACTGAACTGACTTGAGATGAATAACAACCATCCTGCCTTCTGTAGAGCTGCTAATAGCTGAACTGAACTCATTTCATAATTAATGAACTTTACACACTTACTGAATTGAACTGAATCAACACTGAACTGACTGGAGCTGAATAATGACACTAAAATTATATCGGCTTTATATCGGCCATTGCCCACCCTGCTTTCCAAGATATCGGCATTGGCATCGAATGTCAAAAAAACAATATCGGTCGACCACTACTAGCTTGATTTGACTTATTGGTACATAAATTATACACTTCACCTATCTGTGTAAACAAAACTGTAACAAAATTGCATATGGAATGTAGTGGATCATGGCACCTGGCTGTCCATTAGTCCTGCAGTAGAGGGGGTCGGACGTGAGGGTGCGACAGGAGGTCTGGTGGCCAGACGAGGGCGCTCACACACCTCACATAGAATGCTACTGCCTGCATTCACCACAGTGCAGCTTTTACATTGCCACTCTAATTGAAGGAAGTGATGGACAAAAAAAACAGAATTTAGATGTTTATGTCATGTCGAATTATCAACTTGACATATCCAAAGGTCAAACAGGACTGATGGCCTATTTAATGTGGAAAAAGTGAGAGTAAACTGAAAAAACGGATGTACAGACTAACCAGATATTGTAGAGGGCTGAGATGGCTCTTCTTGTAAAGATGGAGCAGCAGAGGACAGGCGGGGTCGATCACAGTTTTCACACAAAACCTGCTGCACTGTATTTACTGTAGTGCAGTATGAACACTGCCATGCTGACAGTGATGAGCTAAGGAAAAAAGAAATAAAGACATACAGGTGTTCAACAAAATCCTCTACACAAATATGTTCTCTCAACCTTTCAGAGTAACAGTGCTAACCTGAGCCGTTTTGTGGCTTTTGAGGAAGTCACAGGAATCCTAATGTGTGTGGAACGCCCTGAATGGGAGTGATACAGCCTGTCACATTCTATGCACAGCCGCTGAGTACAGGTGGGACAGTGAGCAGAAACTGGAAATATACCACATATGGTGCAGTTCTCTGCAGAGCAATTCAACGGAATAGAATGGAAATGATAAAAGCGGACACTCAAAATTAAATATATTCTTTAAAAGGAAAGCCAGGGTTGGTAAATGTGACATGCTTACCTGTTTGTTTAGAGGGCACTAGAGAAGAGAGAGAGAGGGCTGGACTGAATGGAGATTTAGGCTGAAAAGGAGTCGATGCAGGCGAGGGAGTTTGTTTTTCCCATGGACTTTCACTAGGAGAGAAGGCAACTGCATCTGTGCTGATTCCCTCATCCTGTATAGACATTATATGGACACTGTATTTACGCAACATGCAAAAAAGCTAACAAATCTAATAGAAGCACTCCCCCTTATACATACACTACCATTCAAAAGTTTGAGGGTGGTAAGAAGCCTTATGTTTACCAAGGCTGCATTTATTTATCAAAAATACAGCAAAAACAGTAATATTGTAAAAAATGGTTAATATTTATTAAATAAGTGTTTTTTTTATTTTAATATATTTTAAATTTTAATTTATTAATGTGATAGCAAAGCTGAAGTTTCAGCAGCCATTACTCCAGTCTTCGGGGTCACATGAACCTTCAGAAATCATTCTAATATACTGATTTTGAGCTCAAGAAACATGTCTTGTTATTGAAAACAGTTGTGCTGCTTAATATTTTTGTGGAGACTGCAATACATTTTTTATTGATACTTTTTTTTTTTTTTCTTTTGTAACATTATAAATGTCCTTATTGTCACTTTCGATCAATTTAATGTACCCTTGGCAATACATTTTTTATTGATACTTCTTTTTTTTTTCTTTTGTAACATTATAAATGTCCTTATTGTCACTTTCGATCAATTTAATGTACCCTTGCTGAATAAAAGTATTAATTTCTATGAAAAAAATAAAATAATAAAATATCTTACTGACCCCAAACTTTTGAATAGTAGTGTATATATCACTTTTAGCCTGCTATTTTGATGTTGGAAAAAGTGCATGGACAAGTTATTATAACCATATAAATGATCAGACAAATTTAATTAAGTGCGGAATGGAAAAAAACTGTACCTGCACACTGAGGGAGGGAATAAGTCTTTCAAAAAACTCTGGATAAGGATGGGTACCCTACAGAAAAGAGACAGACTCTATGTGAGCTGAATGGTTATTTGTGATTTTGTGATAAACCCACTAAGTGCTTATACTTTACAGCCTCAGACCTTGATTAGCATGTCCAGCTCCATACGGAGGCACATGACCTCAAGAGTCACTGACGCCACCTTCCCAACATCTGGCTGGACAACATCATCAGGAAAGCTCAAGCCGTCTTGCTGCTGATTGGTGTAGCCGTACAGGTTGAGTACTGCTCTGCCACCCTGAAAGAGGAAGATAAACAATAGTAACCACAGATATTTGTATATGGTTCATACAAAAGGCCTCATCATCTCATCCACCACACACCTGAATAGAATCTACAGTGGTCCTGAAGACAGGATTGTTGTACTTTACTGTACGCCAGTACTTCGGCCTGTTGGGGTTGGTAAGATTGGAGCCATACTTCTCCAAGATGTTAAGAGCGGTGGAAAGTTTCTGCAGGAGGCTGAGGGACTAAAAGGATCAGAAGATATTAATGTACAACAGAATAGTCTGAACAAGAATACATTACAACCCAAAAACAACAACAGTTGGCAAAAATGAACTAGGAAGTCATACAAATGAGTGGAAAGAGAACAAATTCTTGCAAAACACCAGAGGAAACAGTGACAGATTACCCAGTGCTATGTATTAATATGCGCTTTATGTCAATCATTCACATGGCCAGTATAAACCCATACATTCCCAATTTATACGGTCAGGCCCGTAACCACCATAGACAGTTCACCCCCAATAATCGGATATGGGCAAATTGTCCCCCCCCATCAATATTTGATATTATTGATGCTGCTCTGCTGTACTCCATTACGCACCACTCTGCCTGTTGCTAAAATGATTATTTTTTTTAAAAGATATATATTTTTAAGCAGATATATATTTAAGATATATATTTTCATGACACTTCAGGTTTAACAGAGAAAGTGCAAGGTAGGATATAAAAGTAGCTAAACATTTGATAACTGTTCTATGACAGAGATGTTAAACAACTAACAATCATATCCATTAATGCAAACTACATTCGATTTTTTGTCAAATTTCACCATATAAGTGATTACTGTAATTCATAATTGAGTACAAGAAACATTAATCAAGCCATTTTCAACATATTAGGAACATGAGTAAGAGCAAATGTGTGCATATTTTAAAATAAAATATTATTTGCAAATATTTTAAATTGATTACAATAAATTCTAGTTATTTTATGTTTTTTTTTTCTTTATTCCTTTAAAGCCTCTAATTATTTAATTCCTTAAAATAAAAAGGACTATTACCACCCCCCTTTGTCCCCCAATCTTAAAGACATGGTCATAACCTTGTATGCGCTCACTATGTGCAAATGGTTAACAAGTCAAATGTTTGCTTCCTGCTGTATAATCATACACTCTTTGGACTGCTGAGGAAAATGAATCATTACACCAGCTCTCACCTCCCTCCTATTATTTCCATTACTGTTCTCCGTCAGCATGCTTTCAGCAGCGATGTAGCAATATTTGCTGGAGGGCGGGAGGGGGATGTTGGCCATGGCTGCCACCCCTGCCCTCATCTCCTGGGCAGAACCTGGAGTAGATAAACTGCCTTCCGCATTCACCCTCACCTCCTCCAGCTGATCACTGAGAGAGGCCATAGCTGAAAGTGAAAGTCATCAAAGCGGTTTAAAACGCACAGTGCCTGAATTATTCATCGTTTCTTATGCCAAAGCATCAGAAAACAAACTAATTACACTGTAGTTGGGATTATAGTTAAAGTTTAGTGGCATTAGACAAAGTGGCTTACTGATTTATTATGTTTGAAGCATAAACAAGAGTCAACAACACGTTTGTTGATTAACTTGTCAAACATACGGAGTCATTTTATCGTTTATTTGCAGTCAATGTTAATATTTTACATACATACATACATACATGACTGTCACATCATTTAAATAACCTGTATTGATGTTTTTACACTAAATTCACATTAGCTAATACGCTAGCTGTCTGGTGAAACTGGAAAGTGAAACTGGAAAGTGAAACCATAACAACTCACATGAAGCTAGTTAGCGAAGTCTTTCTTCAAAATAAATCTGTTTCTAGATAAACGGATGTTTTACTGTCTTCGTTGTTATTTCTCTCACCTGTACGGACAGACGTGTTTATATACTCAAATCAAACCCCTACCATTGGCTTAACTTGCCCGCTGATATTGAATAATCGTACGCTAGCAGGCTAACGCTTAGGATTTATAACCAAAACACTGGTCAGCGACATTACAGAGAACCGTCTAGATGTGGCTCTGTACACACTTTTTAATCAACTCGACTGTCTGAAGAATTTTATGAGCTGTCGATAGATATTAACATACTCACCGTGTATTGACAGAGGAGCAGCGCTCTCATTCACTCGTACGTAAAACTGAAACAATCATCTACCCGCATAGAGGCGCTGTGAGGAAGCGCATTTCATCAACAAAACAATTCGTGTAAATGAATAAATGTAACGATAGATTAGTGAAAAAGGAATGAATGACTGCCAGGGAGAGTTACATAAATGTAAACAGGTTAAGTTTAATTGTAATATAAAAACGGATGACTCTGTGTGGAATTTGAAGCAACAATAATAATAATGATAATTATTCATTTTTAATTGTTATTATTCTAAATGAGAAACGTAAGAGGCAAGTGCGTATGATAATAAAATCCGACGTCAGTGCTTTGCTGAATATAGGACCAATTGGATACACCTGCTGACTGCCATTTGATTGCGTTAATGTGGATCACTGGAAACAAGCTTGAAACCTATAAATCTGAAGTGCAAAGATTTATTGCCATTGCTCTATGCACATTTAAGTCCACTTTGTCACTTTCACATCTAAGGTTAGTCATTTTTGCTGTCGTAATATAAAATATGCTACGGTATTAATAGCATGCCTGTCCATTTTAAAGTGATCTTGCCCTTTACTGATATTGTTTGTTTGGTCTAATCTATCATGGTTTTGAGTGTGGCACGTTTGTTTTACAGTATTGCGGTGTTTTGTATCCTGTGCTGTCTTCGTCTAAATGGAAGGTAATCTTCTCAACCCATGACTTTGTTTCTAGCGCCAAGCTCTACTGTTTGAGCGACAGGGACACTGTAATAACAACAATCGGGCAAATGCTAATTATGTATAATAATCTGGCAAATGCTATTTTTTTGTTTTTGTTTTTAGGCATAAATAACACTTCACAATCAATGGGAGTTGGGCAACCTCACCATCCAGTAAACCACACCAGACCCTTTTTCTATGTTCAGCCACCATCTCAGCCTTATTTTATGTATCAATGGCCCATGAATCCATATGGCCACTATGGCTTTCCAGGGCCAGGTAAATTCAGTCTTTTGAGGCATTGCTTATTGTAGATTATCACTTAATTAACCACAATTTTTTTTCTTTGTTCCAGCTTTGCAATTTGTCCGTCCATATGTGGCCCCTTATCAGTTTATGCAGTATCCTGGGTATGTGATCCCACATGCGCCCATGCAGCCTATCGATTACAGAAGAATGAACCCCCACTTCCCCTCTGTTGCATCCTACGATTTGCGTGTCCGCCACCACTATCAACATGCAGGGATGCATCGGGAGACTGCCTGTTCTGAGGTCCAAACAGATCCTAGTGATTCAGTCAACAAACTGTTAGACAAAATTAAGAGTCTGAAGGCCAGTGAAAAAGGTGGTGACAAGGGGCTTAACACTGTGGTCTCCTCTACCCCTGATGTAGTACAGGGAGAGAAACTGACCTGTTTAAATGAAGACTCTAAGTTAGAGCTCGCCTCTCAGGAAGGTAAGGAGGAACAGGTCAATCAGGTCACAAGGACCACAACCTACAGCGACTCTGCGTATGATGCTGAATCTAGCCAGGGTAGACTGGATGAATGTGTGCTATCAGATGTGCTACCCCTTGACAGTTCCTCTGTCCATGAGGAAGAGGATGCCGATGATGAGCAACAAAGTGTTCCTGATGAAACATGCTGCCAAAATGGAAAGTCAACAACCAGTGCAACTGGCAATGTGTTCTGTAGTGGTGTCAAAGGCACTGCTGATCCAACAGAGAACCTCGATTTGGAGAAACCAGGTGATGAGCTGGTACAGAATATTGCATCTACTGATGTTGCTGCAGTTATGGAGCCTCTTATAAAGCTCTCTGAAGACTTTGACCTGCCGTATCAAATCCTTCGCTTGCCCTGCAATAAGACAACAACTGGCCTCAGTCTTGAACAAGAGATTGATCCACTTGTTTACTTTGATTCTCCATCTACGCTGCTGCCTCCACAAAACTATCTGTCCTCAATCGGCAGTGCATATTCCTACAGCTACTACCCTCAGGTGACCCAAGAGCGCCAGAGTGTCCTGAGTCCGTCCATAGATGAGCTCTCTTCCAGAGATGAAATGTTCTCCACTGATGTGGAGGATCTCGATCTCAATCCGGGGCATGTGTATGTTGGTGGAGGCAAACTGGCTGAAACCAGTGACGTTCCTGTTCGCTCCAGAAAAGAGCTCCTGAGTGTGGAAAAAACTTGCCCTGTCTGCCAGAAAATGTGCGTGTGCTGCGGCTCAAGCTTGCAGGATGAAGTAGGAATGTGCAAAGTGGCCGAACACAGCCATCTTGAGAGAGATGAGGCGTCTGATCAAGACTGCGAGTATGACCTCAACGCAGAGGTGCGGAGTAACTGCGAGTCACCGAGAATGCCCAAGAGGAAGTGTTGCAGTAGGCATGTGCTGCCCTCTTGTGGGCATCACTGTGCCAAACACCGGCACAGGAAGCTGCTGTGTGAAGGCCAAGAGAGCTGTGATCTCCGTGAGCAGGCTCGTGTGCATCCCAAAGGAGAGTGCTGTGAGGAGTGTGGCTCGCTGGCTAAAGCAGATAAGAGAATTCAAAAGGGTACCTTGTGCAGGGATTGTATTGGTAAGGGTTTTTTTGTTTTTTCCCGCATTTTAATGCTGTCACAAGGTGGTCAGCTCATGCAAAAATTATTTTTAGAGCGACAATGGAAAGAGGGTGTTGTCTCTGACCAAGAGAATTGGGTGAGCTATGGTGCCAAACCAAGATCTTTGAGGCAAGTTAGTGGACCTCAAGATCAAGGTAGGACATTGATTTAAATCTCCTATTTAATGGGGGGAGGGGGAACGTTGATGGTTTTTGCCTACTTGGATGTCTAAAGTTGTTCAATGCAAGTGACAAGTATGGCTTGTCTTTTAAACTGTTCTTTTTGATTTGTAAAGGGAGGACTCCTTTGAGAAGGCCGACTTGTAAGACAGTCCACCAGCAAAGGCCAAGAAGTGATTATGATGACTATGATGAGACCCAATTTGCCTACTGCCAGAGAGGCAGAGGTGAGTTTAGGGTTTTAAACCAGTCAAATTGTTTTGGAATCTTGTTTTTATTTGTGCAACATCTGTCCCATCAGGTGCTATGAAGAAAAGAGGCACAAGATACTAAACCACGATGCACTGCTGTAATACTTAAATGTATTACCCGAAACTTGTGTAAAATGCACTTCACTATGAGTGGACACTGTTCTTGACTGTATGTAACTAAAGTATGACAGTGATGTACACCTTGCTGCATTTCCAGTGCTCAACTTAACTTTTCTATTTTGGGTGTGATGCATTCATCTTAATATTATACTGAGACTGCTCTCACTGGACCAGGCCTTGACCTATGTTTAGAAGGCCTTTTTCTCATGTGGCTTGATCTGGGAGGTGTGGGTCTTGTCTGGTGTGTAAGGGCTCGGAGTCTTTGCGTGGTCAAGGACTGGCCCACTGTGACCAGTTTCAAATGTTGGGCACTAGAGATGCAGCTGGTTTAAGGGGTGATTCAGGAGGAAAAAAAAAGAGGATGAGAAATAAAGTGGACAGTTTGGCCACTCTTAGTTCAGATGTCTTTTGTTTTTATTACCGTGCTATTTTTATACATCCGTGTAATGCAGAAAACTCCACCTATCTGTACAGTGTCATTAAAGTCTCAGCATTGCACTTGACCCGTGTCGAGTAAATATATTTTATTTTTGGCTGCATGTTTGCTGTTGTCCTTTTTTTTTTTTTTTTTTTTTGCAGGGGCAAGATCATTAGTGTGGACTTGTCATAATTCCAGCTTCTCAGTTGGTGGTCAACTTTTAAAATGGAAACTAGTCTAGTGTTAGATTTTTCTGCCTTTGCCCAAATATACTAAAGCGTGCCTTTTTAAAAAAAAAAAAAATCTGTACTGTAAGGTGTTTTTTATTTTTTTTAAATCCTGTCACATCTGACTAAATTCAATTTTTTAAAAGTTTGCCTCAATGGCTATGCTAAGTCCGACTGACCATGTTTGTGTTTGCAGGAGTTACACTGACTATTACTAAATCTAAGGTTAAAAAAAGGTACCACATTAGCTCAAATGTCACAAGCTTCTCAGATTCTCCATCTGATTTTATATTTCAGCATTGCAATACGTTATGTCACTTTGAATGACAGCTTTGACATTTAAAAAGTCTGTTTGAGGGCTTCCTCTCAATTTAATCTGATTTTGCCCTGAGGACTGGTATAGAAATGGATAAACAACTTGTCATGCAATACTGTTCAACAATGCGCAAAGTAAAAGTTTACTTCTCACAGCACTTGTCGGCATCTTAACTAGTTCCCAGTAACTTCATCCCTTTCAAAATCTACTTCAATGCTATAAATCCTACTTTATGAATCACTTAACGTCAAGCGTTCATAAACATGCTAAAAAGACAACTGAAAAATTTAATATTTTTGCAGTGTTTACTTAAATTGAGGATTATGTGATTAAGAAGATTGTTGTACGTATCGTTCAAGGGAAGCACGTATTTGTTTTGAAACAAATTGAATCCGCCTTCAAACAACTAAACGATCAGACCTGTTTAGACTTGATTAGCTCTGGTTAAGGGGTGTGGCAATATGATTAGCGGGCTTCTCTATTGGCTGTTCTCTTCGCAGAGGTCGCTCGCTATTGGCTGCGCTGTGGGAGTAGCAGAGAGCATTCACAGTACAGCCTTTGAAGAAGGCAGAGTGAAGTATGACAGATGAGACTGCTCTGCATGCGATGTTCGCGGTTTGCATAGATGAAAACACCTCTGACATGCAAGGTGAGTTCCCCCTCTCTTTTCAAAGAAAGGGCTGAAACTACTTGGCTTTCCTATTTGTGCACTCGCATCAAATTTGTTTTGAGATTTTATCCCTTGTTAAACTCTGACAGAGTTTACAGCAAACAAAACCTGTTTGTTTGGATCCGTTTTTGTTCTATTACATCGATGCATATTTGCTGCATTACGTTTCAACCGCGGTTTTATAACCTGCCCTCAGCGTGTAACTTTATTGGAGCACATTGTCTGTTCAAAGCAAGTTCTGTCTCTGTAGCAGCCCATCAAGTTTTGCATTGTGTTTTACTGTATTTGGTTGTATTATGCTTCAGTGCAGTACGGAAGGA